GGAAAACAGGCTTTGGGCAGTGAGTTTGTTACAAATGAAGCTTGGGCAGAAATGCTGACTACTGTCTGCTGAGCACTGACTCATCACCAGAAGCCTCTCCATCAGCAGGCGTGGAGAAGACCTTGCTTGCACCTATATTTTTCTTGCCTTTTTTACAGGCTCCTTGTTGGTCACAAACTCTCAAACCCCACCATGATCCATAGCCACAGGCTTCTTCTTGGAACCATAAACTCCTTTCCTTCCCATGTTGGGCCTTCATTTGGCTCAGCAAGCTTCTCTGACCTCTGGACCATACATCCCTCAATGTTCCCACCCTGCACTCTCTAGCCCAAGAGCCTGCCTCTAGGGAGCCCAGGTCAAGCTATTAAGCAGATTTGTTTATCTCAGCCATCAACTGACATCACCTAATCAAAGACAAAAACGAATTCCTGGCTGGGCGCAGTGGCTCACTCCTGCCATCCCAGTACTTCGGGAGGTTGAGGCAGGAGGATTGCTTGAACTTAGGAGTTCAAGGCCAGCCTGGCCAACATGGTGAAACTCTGTCTCTACTAAAAATACAAAAATTAGCCAGGCATGGTGACACATGCTCGTAATCCCTGCTACTCAGGAGGCTGAGACAGGAGAAATGCTTGAACCTGGGAGGCGGAGGTAACATGAACCAGACCAAGAATTCCATCAGCAGAATGCAGACTCCTGAGATGATTGATTTCTGCTTTTGAAATAACCACTAAGACCTGGTGTACAGAAGACAAATCACAATGATGTGCTTCAAATGAGGAGAGAAGGCAGTCCCAGTGCCCTCACTGGTTAATAAATGGGATGATGGCCTCTGACTTTGGCAGTGACCTTTGAATCTGTTGCCTTTTCACCTCCTAGCTTGCAGTATTACTCACTATTGCAAGCCCTTTGAAGTCAGGGACTGTGCCTTCTGTATCACTGTACCTATTGCTGAGAAGTGCTCAGATTGTTCAGTCCAGGGGCTGCCTGGTGCTGTGTGGGGTTTGCAAGCCCCGCCAACAACTCATGGACCTGTGCCCATGGCGCTTATTCCCCGGACCCCTTAGGAAGAAGGAGAAGGTAGTCATTCCTGTGGTTACCGTGGACCGGACCAAGAATTACATCACCACACTCCAGCTCTCAGAATGCTTCCCTGGAACTTTTAGGCCTTTTTAACTTAAAGTTTTATGAAAAAAAAAATGTAGGGAAAACAAAGATGTCTAAAAGGAAAGCCAATATGAGATGGAGAGATTCTTCCGTGTACATCGAGTCAAATGACAAGGAAGTAGTCATATGTCTTCCCTCTCCTCTCCCCAGAGTTGGTATATAAGGGCCTCCCCCAGCAGAAGGAGGCATCAGACCTCCTCACCTTCTCCTGAGTCCTCCCTTCTCACTTCATCTGCATCCTCTCTACTGACACCATGGGTTGCTGTGGTTGTGGTGGCTGCGGTGGTGGCTGCGGTGGTGGCTGCGGTGGTGGCTGCGGTGGCGGCTGTGGTGGTGGCTGTGGTGGCTGTGGTGGCTGTGGCGGCTGTGGCAGCTGTACCACCTGCAGGTGCTACCGGGTGGGCTGCTGCTCCAGCTGCTGCCCCTGCTGCCGTGGCTGCTGTGGGGGCTGCTGCAGCACACCCGTGATCTGCTGCTGCCGCCGCACCTGCAGCTCATGTGGCTGTGGCTGTGGGAAGGGCTGTTGCCAGCAGAAGGGATGCTGCCAGCAGAAGTGCTGCTGCCAGAAGCAATGCTGCTGCTAGGCGGGGCGGCCAGCCTCTGGCAGCTGCTGCAGGTCACTGCTGTAGGTAAGTTTTCACCATCTGTCTGCCATTGACTAATAGGACACAAGCATGACCTGAACCTGTCACCTGCCCGTGAGTATTTCACATTCCTATAGTTTTTGGGATTCTGCCTGCATTTAATCATCACCAACAGAAGTAATAACCATACAGCCTTCTATGTGGATTACAATTCAAGTCATGAACTCAACGAAATGGAGTCAAGGCAGTAAATGTTAGACCCTCTTGAAATGCCTCTAAGGTTGCCTTCATTTATGTGCTGTTTTTACTTCTGCCTGGGTATATTTGAATACACAAAGCAACACCTATCTTAATAAATTATACTAAATCATTCTCAAAGAGCTGTCTTTTTTGTTCTTTCCAGTATCTAAACTGTCTGTCCATGGGAGAAAATGAGTTTTATCTCAAAAGATAAATCAAAGAATAAAAAACAATATAAATTGTTTACGATAGACACAGATTTGTGGATGATTATCCATTGCGGGTTTGTAAAGAATGAAGGGACTAGGGGTACATCCTCAGCCTGACACTTCATTTATCATAAACCAAAACTTTCCCCAAATCTCTCTTGATAGAGTCTTAGAAACCGAAGTCTGGAGTCATAAATACCTGTTCAGACTCCAAATGGTCATACAATCATTTAGAAGCCTGATCACTTTTGAGCAATGATAAATTTGGCTCTTAGCCCTGTCAGGTAGCACTTGGCTCTTAGCCCTGTCAGGTATCATGGAAGTCTGTGGTATCAGCCACTTCAAACTACAAAATTACCTTTCAGTTGTAATGTGAGAATATCAGCATTAGAATCAAAATAATCATACATCCTACTGAGAGCGTCCCATACACAATAAAAAATGTCCCTGAACATCCCCTCTGCTCATTTTTTCATAGAGATCCCTGACTCTTTGCTGTGTAGACTCCAGAGTCTTGATTTATTGTGGCTGGTTTAGCAGCAAAGTGAGGGGGAAATAAGGCAGAGAGTGGGGAATCCCAACTTGGGTGAGCAGTGAGGCAGGGACCGAGGGAAGCCAGGCTCCTTGGGTGGGTCTCTAGGTGAAGCTCATTCTTGCACCAGCCTCACAAGGGCCATTCAGGGTGTTTCCTTCTTAGTCTAAGCAGAGCTTGACTCTGGATAGAAGCTAAAACAGGTTGAACTGACCAAATGAACGTTATAACCAAAGGAAACATGGGTCTAATAACCACGTCAAGTAAGATCCAAAGAGGGGAAGATGCTGTCACAGAAAGACAGATTTCCTTCTACCTTGAAATTCAGAAAAGAGCGTTCAGAATGGGTGTAAGATGAGACCCCAAAGTCGAAGCTGACAAGGTGGTTTTGGGCACTCACCTAGCTCTGCTTCTATTTCTTGTTCCAGCTCCAAGAGCCCTGAACCTCTGGTACCCTCAGGCTACCCAAAGCCCCTTAGTTACTCTCAGCCTTTCGGATTTACCTCTGGGGCCCCATCCTTCACTCATTCTTCCCTCCCAGCCTTCACCTGTAGAACTGGTCCCTCCCTTGTGATTGTTCTCAGCTGGAAGAGTAGGCTCGGGAGAGAAGCACCAGTTCATCTGTCTTAGGCTAAGGCAAGGGACATCCGCTTTTCCTTACTGAGGACCCCCCAAGTCGCCTTCCCCACACATAATCCAATGGGCAATCCAATGGGCAGAATTCTGGGACATGTGGCTTTTCCAGCCACCAAGATCCAACACTTTTTAGGCACTTGCCCCTCTTGTCCCACCCGCTGAAAATGTGAGTTTGTTTTCAGTCGGCGTAAATAGAAAACGTGGCTGTCTGCCAGGATTTACTGGGTGTCATTACTCATGTTGACTTCAATTTGTGAAAAAAGAACCCAGGTGGCCTGGTGTGTGGTTTGTGATGTGTGTGTGTGTGTGTGTGTGTGTGTGTGTGTGTGTGTGTGTATGAATATATATATGGTCCATCAGGCACAGCCACAAGAAGAGACAAAGAAGGCTGGGCACAGTGACTCATGCCTGTAATCCCAGCACTTTGCAAGGCCGAGGTGGGTGGATCACCTGAGATCAGGAGTTCAAGACCAGCCTGACCAATATGGTGAAACCCTGACTGCTAAAAATATATATATACAAAAACTAGCTGGGCATGGTGGCATGTGCCTGTAGTCCCAGCTACTTGAGAAGCTGAGGCAGGATAATTGCTTGAACCTGGGAGGCAGAGGTTGCAGTGAGCCGAGATTGCACGATTGTACTCCAGGATGGGCAACAGAGTGAGACTCCATCTCAAAATAAAAAGAAAAAATTAAAAATAAAAAAAGAAGAGACAAAGGAGAGATTCAGGAAAACAGTGTATTCCACTCGAAGGTCCTAAAGAGATGGAGTCACTGCATGCCAAAAGGAGGGTCACATGGGAGGCAGCACTGGGGGAGTGGTCTCAGCCAGGCAGACAGGGAGAGAGGACCCACGGGCTCCCTCACGGAGGACAGGGTGGAATATAGGAGCAAGAGGTGCAGGGGCATCCATCAGTGCATCTGAATGTAACTGGGTCTCAGTCAGGGGAGAGCAGGGAAGGGAACATGTGGCAGGGGCTAAACAGTACCACGCTGGGGCTCACCTGGGAGGGAAGCGTGAAAATTGTAACACAGTGCACAGGGGCATCTGTCTGCATCTCACCTCAGCAGAGGAGTGGCTGTAGGTACCTACAATACCTCCCTGTAATCCAGGTGTGAATTTGAGTCTTCTTTCAGGTTGTCTGAATAATTAGCACAAATGTAGTCAACTGTCCTTTACTGTAGGTAGAGGAATTTTCTTTTTCTTTTTCTTTCTTTCTTTCTTTTTCTTCCTTTTCTTTCTTTCTGTTTTTTTTGTTTGTTTGTTTGTTTTTTTTTTTTTTTTTTTTTTTTTTTTGGAGATGGAGTTTCGCTCTTGTTGGCCAGACTGGAGTGCAACGGCACGATCTCGCCTCATCGCAACCTCCGCCTCATGGGTTCAAGCGATTCTCCTGCGTCAGTCTCCCAAGTAGCTGGGATTACAGGCATGCTCCACCATGCCCAGCTATTTTTGTCTTTTTAGTAGAGACGGGGTTTCTCCATGTTGGTAAGACTAACTCCCGACCTCAGGTGATCCGCCCACCTCAGTCTCCCAAAGTGCTGGGATTACAAGCGCGAGCCATGGCGCCTGACCACTGTCGGGGAATTTATAGGTAGGACTTACAGAGATTTGCAAACCAAGTGAGAATACTAGCAGGGAGAAACTAGGGCCTCGGGACCCAGGGATGAGGAAACTTGCTGTACTGACATGCGGGCTGGGGCCTCCGCCACGCAGCTGCACAAGCTTCAGCCTGAAACTCTCCCACACTGCCCTAAACAGACCACGTGTGAGGGAGGGAGCATGGAATGAAAAGCCCACAGGGAACAAGAAGCCACAAGATCCAGTGCTCTGAAGCCATTCTAGATGGTTTCAGGGGAACTAGCTTCCCACCTCTGACAGTGACATCACGGCAAGTACCACAATTTGCCTAGGATTATAAGTCTTTGTGCACAATGCATCCCATTCAAAGGCAGTCCACAGCACGGCGTGCTCCCTCTCTGAACTGGTCTCATCCCCTTAAACGTGCATTCATCCATTTATTTATTTATTTATGGCGATGGAGTTTCACTCTTGTTGCCCGGGTTGGAGTGCAATGTTGGGATCTTGGCTCACCGCAACCTCCGTCTCGCGGGTTCAAGTGACTCTCCTGCCTCAGCCTCCCGAGTAGCTGGGATTACAGGCATACACCATACCCGGCTAATTTTGTATTTTTAGTAGAGATGGGTTTTCTCCATGTTGGTCAGGCTGGTCTCAAACTCCCGACCTCAGGTGATTTGCCCACCTCGGCCTCACAGAGTGTTAGGATTACAGGCGTGAGCCGCCATGCTCTGTCAAACCTGCCTTTTTTATCTAGGAGTTTCTCTCTCTCTCTCTCTCTCTCTCTCTCTCTCATTCTTTTTCTCTCTTTTTCTTTGACAGAATCTCGCTCCATTGCTCAGGCTGGAGTGCAATGGTGCCATCTTGGCTCACTGCAACCTCCACGTCCCGGGTTCAAGCGATTCTTGTGCCTCACCCTCCCAAATAGCTGGGATTATAGGTACATGCCACCATGCCTGGCTAATTTTTGTATTTTTTGTAGAGATGAAGTTTTACCATGTTGACCAGGCTGCTCTCAAACTCTTGACCTCAAGTCATCTGCCTGCCTCGGCCTCCCAAAGTGCTGGGATTACAGGTTGAGCCACCACACCCAGCCTATGTCTAGGAGTCTCTTGATGAGCATTGGTCAACAGAAAGAAGTCTCTTCTAAAAACTGTTGATGCTTCTAAAGACTACTCATGGTCTGAGTCGTAAAACATTATTTGTCTTTCAATTTATATCTTCCAAGTGAATAATTATTGAGGATTATCTAATCATTGTCTACTTTTCTCTCTAGGTATATTTTTAAAAAAAAACATAGATCCTACACACACACAGATGGTTTTTCTATCAGAAATGGATTCACTTGTCTGGCAAAAGGACACAGATTAGATTATTCTCATCACAAGGCCCCTTAGGCTTATGAATTGAAAGAATAAGAAGGAGAAGGAGAAGGAGAAGAAGAAATAAATGAAAACATAAATCACAGTTCAAATTATTAAGTAATATCTGAAACGAATTAGAACAAAACCATAAGCCTTAACAATACTCCAATCATAGTTAAATTAATTTAGACAGAAAAGCAAAAAGCAATTGACTTGAAAACAAGAAGTGAGGCCCAAAGTGGATACAAGAAAGCCCGGAGAGCTAAGATAAATTCCAAATCCAATATTCATCCATGCCTACTCATCCAGTACACCTGAGGGCTTTAATTTTGTGGTTAGGGAAATGTAAAAGCGAAACCGCTAATAGCAAAGCTCTAAATGTGCACTGTTGGCTGAATTTATGGTGTGGTAGCAGGTGGTAAAAACTAAGCTTCTAAGAAAAGGTAAAACTCCTTCCTCCAGGCACAGAGTAAATGACCCCAGTAGATGGAAATCTAAAGCAAATGTAGTCACCTACATTTTGCAAATAGATGTGTTTCTGAAAAATTTGTTTGAATTGGCTCTTTGTGAATAAAACAGGATTTCGAATGCATTCAGGAAATTTGTCAATTTTTTTTTTTTTTCTTTTTTATGGAGTCTCGCTTTGTCTCCCAGGCTGGAGTGCAGTGGCACAATCTCAGCTCACTGCAACCTCTGCCTCCTGAGTTCAAGCAATTCTCCTGCCTCAGCTTCATGAGTAGCTGGGATTACAGGTGTGTGCCACCATGCCCAGCTATTGTTTTTTGTATTTTTAGTAGGATGGGGTTTTGCCATGTTGGCCAGGCTGGTCTTGAACTCCCAACCTCAAGTGATCTGCCCTCCTCGACCTCCCAAAGTACTGGGATTACAGGTGTGAGCCACTGAGCCCAGCCCAGCTTGTCTATTTTTAAAGGAACCTGCCATCTCAAAATTGAATACAAACTATAGAGAGAATCCAGACTTTCAAATATTCTGTTTGGTAACTGGAGGGCACAAACAGTAGAGGCAGGAAGCTACGCTCAGGGTCTTCAACTTGCTGCACTGTCACTGCCTATCCACCAAAGACTCTCAGAGAGATTAAGATTTTCTAGGATGTGAGATGTGTTCAAACCAAAATAAACACAAAGATAAACCTTTAACGATAAATTTTTATTTTATTAGGAAATTTAGAAGGTAGCTATTGACAAATAAGAATACAAGATAGAAAAGAAGCGGAGAAAGTCACACAAATGGGGATAAAATGATCATATACATCAAAAAGTCTGTTGGGAATCATGATCCTCTTTGAGCTCAGCGATGTGGACTCTTTCCAAAGAGGTAGGCTGTCCTCATGTCTTTGGTTGGCTGATTGATATTAGAGAGGAAACTTTTCATACAGTAAGACTGGAGACACCTGAAGCAAAAAATACAAGAACCCAGAATTCAGGAGAAAAGTTACACAAGAGTGTAAGTGCAAGAATACCCAGAGGACAGGTAAGGCAGGTGAATGGGGTGAAGGAAAGTCCCCAGCATATCCTGCCACAGGACAGAGGCCGGGCCCCCCCTAGCAGCAGCACTGCTTCTGGCAGCAGCACTTCTGCTGGCAGCATCCCTTCTGCTGGCAACAGCCCTTCCCACAGCCGCAGCCACACGAGCTGCAGGTGCGGCGGCAGCAGCAGATCACGGGCGTGCTGCAGCAGCCCCCACAGCAGCCGCGGCAGCAGGGACAGCAGCTGGAGCAGCAGCCCACCCGGTAGCACCTGCAGGTGGTGCAGCTGCCACAGCCACCACAGCCACCACCACAGCCACCACCACAACCACCACTGCAGCCACCACCGCAACCACCACAGCCACCACTGCAGCCACCACCGCAGCCACCACAGCCACAGCAACCCATGGTGTCAGTAGAGAGGTCTCAGGTGAAGTGAGAAGAGGACTCAGGAGAGGTGAGGGAGATATGATGCCTCTTTCTCCTGGGGGGTCCTTATATACTAACTCTGGGGGAGAGCATTGATCTAAGACTCAGTGCCACTTCCCTGTTGTTTATGCAAATATCCAAAGCAGAATCTCACATGGCCTTTTGTACGCTTCCTTATTGGATCCTTCTGACCTCAAAAACTTGCTAAATTTAGCTTTTACTTGTTTTTTTAAAGCCATCTATAATATATAGAACAGTAAACACCTAAAGGAAAAACCCTTTTCTTTTTTTGGTAATTGTAAAAGTCAGAGTGGGATTGCAATTCCCCTCAGCTGTGGTACATTTCTCCCAGCCCAGGACAAAGATTTTTTTAATTCCTACATTATTTGTAACTATTTATTAATTCCCAAAACATTCCTTTAGATGGAGGAGAAGACTCTGTATATTTAAAACGAAAGAGTGATCTCAGGTTATGTGATTTTGTCATCCCTAGGCAGAGCTCCTCAGGTGTTTGCTAGTCCTGTAACCTGAGTCAGAACTCTCTGATCCAGAGAAAAGGGGATCCCGCATTGTCAAGGGTTATGACGCAGTATCCTTCATGTTGTACAGACGATAAAAGCACATCCTGAGCAGAACATTTCCAAGTTACTTGCCAAACTCAAGGAGGCTGTTATCAGCCTGTTAAGGAAGGAGGATAATACTGAAGGCATGCTGCTGGCAGCCACAGGGTGCCTGGTTGATCATGGACCAGTACCTCATGGAGTGCTTACTTGAAATGATTAGTTTCAATTGGCCATCCCTATGCAGGCTACTCCTCTCTGTCAAAGGAAAGATGAAAATGAAAAATGGAATCGTGAAGGCCATCAAGGAAATCTATAGGTTCTAATCCTGCATGTCTGTTCTCAGAATACAGTGCTCTTATCGGTCACCCCAGGCCATGCCAAGGAGAACGAGACAAGGAAAACCCAAGTGTCCTCTCAGCTCCCTGCAGGACCCAGAGTTGGAGGAACTCTGATTCCCCTGCATGAAGGTAAATTTTATGTGTCAACTTGACTGGGCTAAGGGATGTCCAGATAGCTGGTAAATATTATTTATGGATTTCTCTGTGAGAGTGTTTCTAGAAGAGATTGGCATTTCAATCAGTGGACTGAGTAAAGAAGATCATCTTCACCAACATGAGTAGGCTTTGCTATGGTCCAAATGTGTTCACCAAAAGTCACGTGTTGGAAACAATCTCAATGCGATAGTGTTGGAAGGTGGGGCTTAATGGGAGGTGTTTAGGTCGTGAGGACCCTGCCCTCATGAATGAACTAATACTACTCTAAAAGAGGCCTGTGAGGCTGTGTGCGGTAGCTCACACCTGTAATCCCAGCACTTTGGGAGGCCGAGGTGGGCAGATCACTTTAGGTCAGGAGTTTGAGACCAGCCTGGCCAACATGGTAAAACCCTGTCTCTACTAAAAGTAGAAAAATTAGCTGGGCATGGTGGTGGGCACCTGTAATCCCAGCCACTCTGAAGGCTGAGACAGGAGAATTGCTTGAACCTGGGTGGGAGAGGTTGCAGTGAGCCAAGATCACACCACTGTACCCCACTGTGGACAACAGAGCAAGACTCCATCTCAAAAAAAAAAAAAAAGGCCTGTGAGAGTGAGTTCACCCTCTTCTGCTCTTCTGCCAGGTGAGAACATATAGTTTATCTCCATCTTGCCCTTTTGCCTTCTACCATGAGAAGTTGCAGAAAGGCCTCACCAGATGCCAGTGCTTTAATCTTGGACTTCCTAGCCTCCAGAACTATAAGAGAATAAATTTCTGTTCTTTATAAATTACCCAGTCTCAAATATTCTGTTATAGCAACACAAAAAATGGACTAAGGCAGGGATCATCCAGCCCATTGAGGGCCCAAATACAACAAAGAGATAAAGTGAAGGGAATTCTCTCTCCCTCCTCTTAAGCTAGAACATCCAGCTCCTGCTCTCAG